AAATAGTTAGCAGTGTCAGTTAAAAAATATGTGGGAGGCAGAAGCTTTGGAGAAGCAGATACCAAGCTGAGATTAGACACGTAAGAGAGTTTTTAATTTTTTTTTCTTACATTTATTTATTTTTGCGAGACAGAGAGAGACAGAGCATGAGCAGGGGAGGGGCAGAGAGAGAGAGGGAGATACAGAATCAGAAGCAGGGCTCCAGGCTCTGAGCTGTCATCACAGAGCGGACGCCAGGCTCAAACTCATGAACCACGAGACCATGACCTGCGCTGAAATCAGATGCTCATCCGACTGAGCCACCCAGGGGCCCCAAGAGATTTTTGAGAGCAATGCTTATGTAAGGTAAGCAAGAGGAAGTGGACATAAGGAAAGAGAGGCTTCAGATAATAATGGCAGTCTGACACCTGTGAACACGGGGGAGAAAGAAAGTTTGTGTCAAAAGAGTCTCAGGCTTCTAATCAAGTTTTGCACAGGCTAGTGAGAGTTGTCTAACATAAGCTGCCCTTTAGAGGAGTCCCTGGTCCTGTAGGAATGGAGCTGTACGACTAGGATTTCTACTACGTTCAGTTATTGCTACGAGCAGCCCCAGGGAACCTTGGGTCTCCTGTAGACGCAGGTCTGGGCCAGAGGGCCGGCAGCTGGGCCATCAGTCAACCACGTTCCATGGAGGGAAACCTGAGGAGCGAATTTTCAGGGCTGCCCCTGCTGTTTTCTTGGCAGAGTATAAAGCCCCGCTTCTCTCTATAAAAGGCTCTGTTGAATTACTTAGGTTTATGATTAGAAATTTATTTCCGAACACTATCTGATGTATAGGAAAAGGCAGTTCATTTTTTAGGTAGGCATTAATGACAAATTAACTCCTTTTCGTGTATTTGTATTATAAAATTCCTCAGAAAGGTCATAGCATACTATTAATATACAAACAAAATTTAATTTTCTATAGCTCCACTAGTGTAGAATACTTAGAATACTCATTATGCAGCTTTCCCACCAAATCTTCAGCCATTTTATACATAGGCTTTGATAAAAGCAAATTGTTATATGTTATATATAACATTAAATCATGAAAATAATGTTCTATTTTTTACAGACTGTTCAATCTGTATGGTACATCAGTCAAATGGGTACAATCAATCAAATCAATCAAGTGGGTACATTCATTACATCATAGGGCTCTATAATTATTTACTTAAATGTCCTCTTAGTATTTAAAATTTGTGCTATTATAAATAATACTGTAATAAATATCTTTATATGTTATGGCTTTCTGTGTCATTTGTTTAAATAGGTTTCTCCTTTATTAAAAAATAAGATAATCTAGATCAGTAAAGCAACTTTGTCTTATTTTCAGGACTTAGCACATTTGTAGTACATGATATTTACTCTATAAATGAGTTAAAGCATTGGATTGGAAGTTGAGCACACATGTTAGAAAGTCTTTTTCATCAGAGCATGTGGTTGTGATTCCTTGAAATTATTATTCTAACCCTTTGGAATTCAAGGATGGAGATTAAGCATCCTATTCGTGCACAATCCAAATATACTAATTACTTACTGTAAGAGTTGCTGTGTTCTTATGAATTAGAAAACTCACAGTCCAACCACCCTGAAATTTTTAATGAAGATAAAATGTGATGATATTATGGAAATTTCCAAAAAAAGAAAAAAAAGAAAAAAAGTGAGAGAGACAAAACAAGTCTTCAAATTAATCAATATTCCTGGTTCTATTTTTTAAAAGGGTATATCCTGGAAATTCTAGAAATTTATTTTTTCTATCTGTAAAATAGAAACATTAATATTTATTTCGTGGGATTACTCTGGATTAAATGACATAAAATGTGGAAAGAACCTAGCACAGAATTACTAAAACATGGTAAGAACTTAATGATGCACTATAGGTATTCAGTAGTTGATGGTAACAATAAAAATGTCAATCATTAAGATAACAATTATTAAAATTTTATACTCAGTGGTCTAAATGTATTTCCACTAACTATAAAATTATACTTAGTTAAATTATTTAAAAGAAGTGCTTGAGCATGAGTCAAGAAATTCTCAGTGTTACCTAAGAAAATCATACTTCTTTCCCCTATGTGAATAGTCACTCAACATATGTAAACATTACAAATATCCCCCAGCCTGTGAAAGATATCGAGACATCAGATCAACTATGTGAATTATTTTTAAAATTATGACAAGTACTTTTTAATCACCAAAATAATACCAATAAGGTCTTCACATACTTAATGAATATTCTGAAGGTAATTTAGAAAGCTTGGAGGGAAGATACAGAAAAATTAACCATCATGAAATTTTCTTTCTATTAGTGCCAAAAATGAGGACAGTTAGTTTTGTGATAGCACTGAGAGTCTCATATTACCTTCAAGCCAGCTGGGAAAAGAGGACTATAAATCACTATGAACTTGTACTTTGGGATTATCAGGACATTGCTACTGTTAAAAAATAGAAAAGGCTTTTATTTTTTTTTTCATGGAAACTTCCATTTGACTACAATCATATTTCAAAGAAAGATCGACTGCTTCTATGTTCAGTGGCCTGCTTCAAACCACCAGATGTTTCACTCCATAAACTGGGAGTTTAAGCTAAATGGATGCTCTAGAATTTGGGTTGTTGCCAATATCTTAGCAATTCTAATTGGATAAGATAATGTTCCTGGAGGACACACCAGCAGGGACTCTTAATACTTCACTATTTTTAGTGATTTCGTTTATGAATGAATGTAGGTTTGTGTATATTTCATTGAGAGAAAATAAATTATTTTAAAGATGATCATATAGCTAGATTTCAGTAGTGTATACTTTTTGAAGTTAAATACAGCAATACAAATAATATAAATGAGTGCTTCCTTGAAAACCTGTTAACTAAATGTACCATTGGAGTTTACGTAGGAATTTAAGTTGTATACAGTGGTAATAAAGTACGCCCAAATCGCAGTGGCTTACAACACTCAATGTTTCTCACTGAGGATGCATGTCCCTTGTAGATCAGCTGTGGCTCTGTCCGTGTTGCCTTCGCTCTGGGAGTGAAGTAATGGAGTAGCTTCTACATGTTTCTTGTCATTTGGCAGAAAGACAAGAGAGATATGATGAACTGTGCTCTGACATCAAATCTGCTCGGTAGTGATGCAGGCCACATATATTCCATTAGCTAAAGCAAACCACAGGGCCACCCCTGAATTCAGTAGAACAGGGAAGTACAATCCTCCAGCAAGGAAGGAGCATTTCAAGTCACATGACCAAATTAGAAGTCAGTGGAGTGAGAAGTATAATTTTCTGACAAGAAGGAGAGAAGAAATACTGAGAATAATAGTCCTCTCCATTATCTGTTGATAATAACCATCAATAGAATTACAATGGAGAAGAAATGACTAGTCCATACTTTAAAGATGAAGTTTTCATTTATAATGTTAATTTGTACTCATTAAGAATAAAAAGGGTGGGGGCGCCTGGGTGGCGCAGTCGGTTAAGCGTCCGACTTCAACCAGGTCACGATCTCACGGTCGGTGAGTTCGAGCCCCCCGTCGGGCTCTGGGCTGATGGCTCAGAGCCTGGAGCCTGTTTCCGATTCTGTGTCTCCCTCTCTCTCTGCCCCTCGCCCGTTCATGCTCTGTCTCTCTCTGTCCCAAAAATAAATAAACGTTGAAAAAAAAAAAAAATAAAAAGGGTGGATGTTAATTAAGCTTATTTATCTTTAAATATACATATAATTATGTTGTACACCTTAAATTTGTACTATAATATACATTGGCTATATCTCAATAAAACTGGAAAAAGTTTTTAAAAGATGAAGAGGGGGAAGGCTGCATTAGCGAAGATGTTTTAGGTCCAAAGCAAAAGAAATCTAAATGGATAGTGTGGAAAAATAAACTAAAGATACTGAGATAAATTTGCATGTTTACTGCTAGAGGGAAGCCTATCTCTGAAATATTTGGAGATAACTGATATATTTTGGATTTACCTAATTTCACCAGTCTAAGTGTTTATCCTTTTGACCCTTTTTCACTGGAGGGCTGAGATTTACTGGAGTAGGTGTTAAGTCTAGGATGATCATACTCATTTGAGGATGGCATTCTTTATGAATAATGAAGAGTAGTGTGTTACTTCTGATGAATTGTAGATGAATATCTACATTGCTGCATTTTCTACCACAACGCAGGATTAAGCTGCATCCTTATGCTTGTTAAACACAGGGGTGTAGTAGGAAGCATTAACTGAAGAGTTAGTTAGGACTTGTTTTTCAGTTTTCCTAATAAAAGTGAGTTTGTGCATTGGCTAGTTCCCTACTGTCTTCAGTTTTCTCATTTACAAAATGAAAGCAATGGTGTTATTTGGTTTCTAAAGTTTCACTTCTGTTCATAAAACTTGATAGTCGTGTCCCCCTTCATATATGTCAGGTGAGTCACCCATTCAAGATTTGATGACAAGACAATCTCTGAAAAAGTTCTTAGAATATGATATCTAGGTTCTTCTGAATTGAAAGAAGAGGCATAGATGTATTGAATACTTTTTCCTTTATTCTTCTTTTCTACACATGCATTTTTTAAATATCTCACTACAGCAATTATTACAACTTTTCCTGTATTTATTTACCTTTTAATTTTTGGGGGGGATGTGTTGTGGCTGAGTCACCATAAACAGTTGTGCAGATTCTATACCGCACAAATCTAAGACCATCATTCACATTTCCAGTGCATAATCTCTATGACCTTAAATGACAACTGTGGATGTAGTCAAGATTTAACTTATTATGTAAAAATTATGTGCTACACTTCTTGTACTGAATTCTTAATTTTTGAGTATTATTATATCAGCATGATTCATATGAAGAAAGTATCAGTCTTACTGAATGTAAAATATTTTTAATGCTTTTTTCTCCTCTTACTACTTCCTAACAAAGAAATAAGAATTATGATTATCTTAAACTGTGTTTTTAAGTACACAATTTGTTGAAATTTCTATCATTTTTGAATTATTTAGTGTTGATAAAGTGGATGACGAAGATGATGAGGATTTAACAGTGAACAAAACTTGGGTCTTGGCACCAAAGATTCATGAAGGAGATATAACACAAATTCTCAACTCATTGCTTCAAGGCTATGACAATAAACTTCGCCCAGATATAGGAGGTAAGTTTGAATTATCTGTTTGGGATTTTGGTGACTATGAAAATCTTATTTACTGATGTCATTTTAATCATATAACTCATATTCCTTGAGTGTCTGATGTATGTCAGAGACTATTAAGTTTGATAATTTATTAGTTAAATTGGCAGTGTTAAGAATTCACAGTCTGATGTGGGAAGAAAGACCTAAATATTTTTGATATAATTATTTTACAACAGCTACAATAAAGAGTACAACAGCAAAGTTTTGATAAAACTGCCTGAAAAGCTGAGAGATATTTCCTAAAAGAGATTATTTGAAAGGTAGGTAGGGATCTAGTTTTGTGCCCGTGCAGCACTGTTTTAATTAATGAATTCTAAGCCAGTAATAGTGCAGGTAATCTTACTTTGTTTTTCTCAGTCATTTGTATTTAAGTGTAAGTTTTATAATAATTAACTTCTAAGTGCCCCCCATGACTTTTTTAAAACAAACAAAAAATATAGATCAGCCAACATTTTCATTGGGATTGCATTAAATCTATGCTCAATATAGAGAAATTGAAATCTTTACCATATTGAATTTTTACCATACCAAGTTCATAAGCATCATCCCTCTCTCTCTCCCTCTATATATGCATATATAGATATGCATATGTGTATATATGTATATATGTGTATATATGTATATATAGTTTCCTGTGAAGAAATGTTGAATATATTTTACTAGATTTAATTCTATATATTTGGATTTTGTTTTGTAAGTGTAAATACATTTTTAAAAATTTATTTTCTAATTTTACATTAACAATATATATAAAAATGGCTAAATTGCACATTTTTTGTCTTCAGAAGCCTTGTGAAATTTCTGTATCAATTTTAATCATTTATTGTTATATTCTTCTAGATTTTCTATAAAGATAGTTGACCATGACAAATAATTACTGCATTGCAAATAGTGTCTACTTTGCAAACAAAGAGTATTTTACTTTATTTCCAAAATTATGCTTTTTTTCATGCCATGTTGAATTGGGTAGGACTAGAGTACATTTTGAATAGTCTTGGATTGTTCCTGGTATCAGGGAGAGCAATTCATACTTCACTATTAGGTATGATTGCTGTAGGATTCTTTTTTAAGATGCTTGTTAGTTTCTCTTATTTGCTAGAATTCTTTTTTTCCTCAATGTTTTGAATAATTTCTATGCAACCACTGAAACAATCATATTGATTGTGTTTTGCCCTTTATTCTACTTACTGTTTGTTCTATAAGTAGCTTTGTCTGATTTTTAAAACTTTGCAGTTCTGTAACAAATACCAGTTGGTTGTGATATGGAAACTACAAAATATCACTAGATTCAATTTGATAATATTTTGTGTTGGAATTTTGTATCTATGTTCATGAAAGACATTAGCCATTTATTTTACTTATTTAATGTCTCTTTTAGTTGCAGAACTGAGATCATGATAGCATCTACAAATGAGTTATGGTTTGCCTCCCTTTTCATCTCTGAGTTTATCTAAAATGGATGATATTTTTTCCTTAAATATTCAGGAAAATTATTTGGGAAGTCATGCTGGTCTAGAGTTTGATTTGGGAAAAAATTTTAACAGTTCAATTACTGTATTTTATTTTTTAATGTTTATTTATCATTTTATTTTGAGAGAGAGAGTGTGCAAGCACAAGTGGGGGAGGGGCAGACAGAGAGGGAGAAAGAGAGAGAGAATCCAAAGCAATCTCCACGCTATCAGCACATAGCCCAACTCAGAGCTTGATCCCACAGATCATGAACCGAGCCCATATCAAGAGTCAGACGCTAAACCAGCTCAAGAGAGTGTGAGCCATCCAGGTGTGCCGGTTCAATGAATTTAGTAATCAGGTTTAGTAGGCTGAACCTCTTAAGGAATATAAATTTTCAAATTTACTAGTGTTAAGTTGTTTCATAATAACATTTGCGGTATTTTTTTGTATTTAAGATCTGAGGTTTTTTTTCCCTTTTTTGTCATTTCTTTTTTTAAAACTTTTAAAAGTGTTTATTTATTTTGAGAGAGAGAGAGAGAGAGAGAGAGAACAAGAACGCACAAGTGAGAGCCAGTGTGTGAACAGGGGAGGGGCAGAGAAAGAGGGAGAGATAGAATCTCAAGCAGGCTCCATGCTGTCAGTGAAAAACCAATGCAGGGCTGTATCTCATGAACCACGAGATCATGACCTGAGCCGAAATCAAGAGTCAGACACTTAGCTGACTGAGTCACCCAAGTGCCCCAAATATCCATGTATTTTTATTTTATATTTTGAAATACCAAAATTCACTCTTATTATCAAAGTGTTTAAAAGCAATTAGTTTTTACCATGAAATTATCCCATTTGTTATTCTTTACTTTCTTCAGTACTGTGTCCCCATTTAGAAAAAAATATTCCTTACAGTGTTTCTTTTGGTGTAAATTTCAGGGCAAAAAATTATTTCTGTTTTTACATGAAAAATATTTTTATGTTGCCTTCATTTGAATGATATTTTCAGTTAACATTTAAACCCAGGATAGTTGCTGTTTCCTTTCCAAATTTTATTAACCTCACTCCATTTTATTCTATATTCTATTATTTCTGTTGAAAATCACTTTTCAACAACAATGTTGCTGTTCTAGAAATAAACTATCTTTTATCTCTGCAGGGTTTTTTTTTTTTTTTTGTCTTTGGGTTTCTGCAGTTTTATGTAAGGTCCCCAGACTTTTTGTTTTGTTTTTGGTATTTGGGAGAGTTCATAGGGCTTCTTGAATCTATTTGTTGGAATCTTTGATTGCTTTTGGAAAATTCTTGGTGAATATTTCTTCAAATATTTTTTCTATGTCAATTTCTTTGTGACTCCATTGCACATATGTTTGACGTTTTCCCTAAGTCTTTTTTTTTTAATTAATGTTTATTTTATTTTTGAGAGAGAGTGGGGGAGAGAGTGTGAATGGTGGAGGAGCAGAGAGAGAGGGAGAGAGAGAATCCCAAGAAGGCTCTGTGCTGTCAGTGCAGAGCTCACTGTGGTGCTTGACTCCATGAACCATGAGATCATGACCTGAACCGAAAATCAAGAGTCAGATGCTTAAGTGACTGAGCCACCTAGGTGCCCCTCATTCTCTTTTATTATTGGCCTCTTTTCTGGATCAATAATTCTTACTTGCAGTATTTGCAAATGATTTTTAAAGTATTTCAAGTATTTATCAAATTTGCCATCTTTTTATCTATTTTCTTATACATATTAGCTGTAATTATTTTAGTCTTTGATAATTACAGTATCTTAATCACTTGTGTAACTTTTTAAAAAATTTCTTTTTCATTTTATGTCTTGTTTTAAGTTGATTTGCTTGTTTCATTTATTGTATGTTAATTTTTTATTGAATGCCAGTAGAGTATATTAAAAATAATGGAGGGGCGCCTGGGTGGCTCAGTGGGTTGAGCGTCCGACTTCAGCTCAGGTCACGATCTCACAGTCTGTGAGTTCGAGCCCCGCGTCGGGCTCTGTGCTGACAGCTCAGAGCCTGGAGCCTGTTTCCGATTCTGTGTCTCCCTCTCTCTCTGCCCCTCCCCCGTTCATGCTCTGTCTCTCTCTGTCTCAAAAATAAATAAACGTTAAAAAAAAATTTTAAAAAAAATAATGGAGACTTAGATGATGTTATTTCCTTCCAGAGAGGATTCTAATTTTGTTTTAGTAGTCAAGTTAAGGAGATTGCCTTTATTTGGCCCAAACTGGTGTATTTCTTTTTGTAAAACTTTGCTTTTCCTCAGGGCATAACCATTTGAAGTGTTTCCACTGACAGCCTGAGGTTTGTACTAGGAACCCCTCTCCTTGATGGCCCCACATATGCCAGAAATAGCTGAAATCTCTACATATTATTTTAGATTCTGATTTATATTTGGTTTCTTAGCATCACACTGTGCATATGCACAATTTAGGAATTAGTAAATACCTTGAGGAGAAATTGCAGGTAGAATGTTTGATTAAATTCTTCTCTGTTGGTTCCTTTTTTTCTTTTTTTAATATGAAATTTATTGTCAAATTGGTTTCCATACAATATCCAGTGCTCATCCCAACAGATGCCCTCCTCAATACCCATCACCCACTTTCCCCTCCCTCCCACCCACATCAACCCTCAGTTTATTCTCAGTTTTTAGGAGTCTCTTATGGTTTGCCTCCCTCCCTCTCTAACTTTTTTTTCCCCTTCCCCTCCCCCATGGTCTTCTGTTAAGTTTCTCAGGATCCACATAAGAGTGAAAACATATGGTATCTGTCTTTCTCTGTATGACTTATTTCACTTAGCATAACACTCTCCAGTTCCATCCATGTTGCTACAAAAGGCCATATGTTATTCTTTCTCATTGCCAAGTAGTATTCCATTGTGTATATAAGCCACATTTTCTTTATCCATTCATCAGTTGATGGACATTTAGGCTCTTTCCATAATTTGGCTATTGTTGAAAGTGCTGCTATAAACATTGGGGTACTAGTGCCCCTATGCATCAGCACTCCTGTATCCCTTGGGTTAATTCTTAGCAGTGCTATTGTGGGGTCATAGGGTAGATCTATTTTTAATTTTTTGAGGAACCTCCACACTGTTTTCCAGAGCAGCTGGACCAGTTGGCATTCCCACCAACAGTCCAAGAGTGTTCCCGTTTCTCCACATCCTCTCCAGCATCTATAGTCTCCTGATTTGTTCATTGTAGCCACTCTGACTGGCAGAGAAGTCATAGCTGTTTGGACAGACGTTAACTTCAATTTTGTTTCTCCAGCCCAATGTGGCAGATGCAAATTCTAAGCCATTTCTGTGCAGTAAAACAGCAAATGCACCAATGGGGAAAAGTGGCCAGCATAATGTAGAGCTTACATCACTGCATTTCCAATCCTTCAAGGAAATTGTTGCATCAAATCCTGATTTTGTTAGCTGCTGTGTGATTCTTTCAATAATTTTAAAATTTTTAAATAAATTTTATAGTTAGTTCATTGGGAAGATTAATTTGATACCAAATATTTATCACAAGAAGCAGAA